GAGTTGGTGTTACCTGCGCATTCATGCACTAGCCTTGCACGCTATAACTAACACAGTGAGGGTACAGATCTTTAGATGATTAGTAATATTTTGTGACCATCGGGCGCCACGGCCGCGAGTCGCAAGTACGCAGTGGAATAGACAATCCTACTTTGTAACTCACAAAATACAATTTGTTGCATATCTATATTGTAATTTTATACACTGAATTTACATCTTAAGTTAGACTGTAATTTGTTTTTTATTATTATTAAAAATAACATTCACACTTACTTTTTACTAAATTGTCACTATATCTCCAGTATTCCCAACATCAATATTTTAAATAAGAATGTTATAGCTTAGATTTATTTACACAATACTGCTCAAGTCGCGGAAGTGCGTTACTGGTGAAGCAGCCTGGATCCCGTCGCGCACGCACTCGCCCTCGACGTTAACGTTATTTGCCTTTCGCTGTGATCGTGAGAGACGATTTCGCAGGTTGTGGTATTATGGTTATTTCGTCGCTAATCTTCAGCGGCTTAAGCAGTGGATCGGAATCCAAAGGCTTGGATGGCGTCGAGGACTTGCTCTTATCCATCACACGTTTCGCCACCACACTGTGGGCCGAATACACGTGGTTTTCGAATTGCTTGTACATACCGAAAGTGGCGGTGCACACCGTACATTTGTAGGAGAGGTGCGCCGGTTTGAGAGTCATGTTGTGGTCTCGGGAAACGTGGTTCAGCAGTTTCCACTGATAGACCCTTCCGCACACAGGGCACCTTCCTGCGTCCTTTCCTTTGTTCGCCGCTTCCTGCATAGAGCTGGTTACGAGCCCATGGGAACCCAAAAGATGTCTTTCGAGACCTTGATCAGTGAAGAATCTAAACTGGCATTTTTGACAGTTGAGTGGAGGCCTATTGTAGATCATCTTAGGATGAATCTTCACCTTGTGAATCCATTGCATATGATTCCGGAGTTGCTCCAAATCTTTAATGTATCCATCGCAGATTTCGCATATCACGAAAGTGGCCTTGGAATTCTGAGACGACTGCGACGACGACGGCTGCGGAGCGCGGGGGAGCGGAGTGATAGAGATTTTTGGTGTGGCATTATTGGCTTGGTTATTCTGGACCATGGGGTAGTTGGAAATGGTGGTGCCCACCGGGGGCGTGTTGTGCATGATCATGAGGCCGCTGCGGATGATGGGCACGCCGGAGACGGTGGCGGGGCGCGCGGGCGCCAGCGGCGGGCGGCCGCGCGGCCGGCCCAGCACGGGCAGCCCCGACATCGCCGACGACACGTTGAGCGGCGGCCGCCCGAGGTTGTTCATGCCGACGTGAGCCCGGTTGAAGTTGCTGGGGTAGGGCCCCACCATGTTGTTCCTCGCCCTGGTCAGCTTTGGTATCTTCGCCGGGGGTTCCCATTCGAGGGGCGGGCCGAGATTGAACTCGGGCTTGAACTTTTTGGCGCATGCGATGAGATGTCGTGCCAATTTAGTTTTACTGTTGTCCTCGAAATGACAGTTGGCACACTGCTGATACGCAGGTGCCCTCTCCAACCTACCCCTGATGTTGTGCTCGGCTTCCATGTGAAACAATATATCGTGAGGACTGCGAATTTCGAATGCGCAGGTGTTGCATTTGTAAATATTGTTCCTCATGTGAGGTGCTTCTAAGTGATGAGCCATGACTAACATGGACTCGGTTTTAAAACTACAAAAATCACATCTTTTTTGTTTCAGGGCATACGGAGCATTGGTTCTCTTACTGAAGTCCAAGTTTTGAGTGAGAGAGACGATTGCAGCTTCCGTGGCACGGGTGCTGCGTCCAGACTTCTTTTCCTTATATAACTTACGGTTTTGTTGTTTTAACAGGTCACTTTGCACAAATTCTTGTACTAAATTTAAGCCTATATTAATAAAAAACTGTCCTAAGGAACAATCAAAATAACTGTCTGATTTACCTGATAGACCCTTGGCAATCAAGCTGATCGGATCTTTGATCTCCTCAATCGTATCATCCTTTTCCTTAATAACTACGGTGTCGTCATCACTGATGACGTCTTCATCAGAGTCAGAGCTTGACTCACCATCCCAGGAATCGTCATCTTCTTCAGTGCGACGCTTGCGTTTTTTCTTATCCTCTCTTTTTGATTTGCCTGATTCTTCATCAGTGACTTTTGACTCTTCCTCTTTCTTCTCAACGTCATCATCCGGCACCAGTTCACCTCTCTCAATTCTTTCCTGTCTTTCTTTTTCTTTTCTTTCTTTCTCAGCCTTTTCCTTTTCTAATTTCTCTTGATCTTCTTTTATTTTCAGTTCCTCGAGCTCCTTGCCCAATTTGTCCACAAATTCTCTAAAAGGTTTCACTGAAGGTTTTTCATACACATAAGGGACTATAAATGATGGAGCTTCAACAACAAACATGTCATCTGTCAAAGATGGTAGAATATTTGGTTGGGGCTGAGGCGTTTGGGTACTGTTCTGCGTTATATTATTTTGGACACTCTTGCTGCTAACTGGAGTGATTGTAGTACCACGCGCTGCTATACTCTGACATAGGTTTTGTGCATCAATTGCACTGGTTGATGCATTATGTTTAGATGTGGCTGGAGAAGAGTTTTTGCCTGACAAGATAGAGTTAGTATCTATTATAACCACTGTTGGTTCCTTCTGATCCCCATTGGTCTTGGCCTGCTTGGACGCCAGCTCGGCCAAACCTTTAGTATCGCTCACAACTATTGGCTTGCTTTTGTTTTGAGATTGATTCAATGGATCTTCCATGGAAACTTCTTCAATATCAGACTCATCATCACCATTTTCCAGTTGATCTTCCAATTTTTTCTCCTCAATTGCTTTATGGCTCTGTTGTGAGCCTTCGGAGCTGTCATTGCTGTCTGTGCTGGAATTTGATGAGTCATCATCATCGTTGGACACACCTCCGTCTTCGTCATCGTCACTAGTGATCTCATGCACTTCAGGGCTAGGGCTGCCGCCGTTTTGGTTCTGAGGTTCATGTTCAATTTCATTCTCATTCTCATTTTCATTTTCAGACTCACTACTGTCTTCCTTTGGCTGGCTTCCTTGTGATGTGTCATCATCACCTTCGGTCCGCTCATCTGTGAAGCCAATAGTGGTGTTGTCTGAGAAAACCAATCACAAAGTCAAAATGAACATAATAAGAATAACAGTAACAAATTGTTTTAGTATTTACGCGCATTTTTTATAATAGCCTACGTATTTAGAGGGTATGGATTGAATTAGATGATGAAGGGTCAAGTGGAGTTGCCCGCGAAGAGCGTCCTCTACGCGAGAGGACGCCAGATAATCCAGAAAAAACGAAATAATCAAAGTAACCTAAATGCGGTACAGTGTTACTTTCAACCGTTTAGTTTGCCTAACAAACGGCATATTTGTAAATGGATTATGCAAAAATAAAATTTTAATTTATCAAATAGCGTCATTATATCATGTGGTGTGTGGACCGCCATATGGGATTCCATAGCATTTCTCCGAAAACCTTACTTGATCAGGTTTGATGGTAAACACATGATTTCACATAGAAACTTTTATAAATAAACATGCGTTAACACTAAAGGCTTACCTGTAGCAGTGGAAATCGACATTATCTTGCGATTTTAATACCAAAAACCAAAAAATAGCACAATAGCACAGTAGCGGAAACCAAACCAAATCAAGCTGTCATTTAAAAGGTTCTTTATATGTCACTTTTCAACAGCGTAATGTAGTCCGTTACTTATTTTGCGAATAAAAATTAAATAACCATGGAAATATTACTCCAACATTTTGCTATTTACTATCATTTTAAACGAAATGTTTTAATGGTAATTATAATAAAGGTAAGCTTTTTTTCCTAAAAAGGTCAAATTAGATGTTGTGTAACCCAAAATTTACATTGTAAAGGACCTTTACTTAAAAATGGTAGGAATGGGAGGGAACTCGGAGGGGGAAGGACGCGGTATTCCATATTGGAAAGATTGGAATAAAAAAGCGGTAAATTTAAAAAATATTCCAGACTCATTATTTCGCATTTTTTAAAATTAATTGAATAAAAAAATTATTGTTTATATAAAATAATTAATATAATTTGCAAAATTAAATAAGTATAATAATTATTTGATAAATATTATACACGATTTTTTTTTCAGAACTTTATTTTACTAAATATTTCAATTTTTGATAATTATACATACAATATGAATTAGAGATATGAAATAAAATAAAAAACAATTAAATAATGTTAACTTTTCTATCTTTGCATGGTATCTAGATTTGTAGAATTATATTAAACTTTAAGTAGGTAATTATATTTAAATAGAAAAAAATATGGGAATAATTAAACATTTATGTGCCTTTAATTATTATTAAACAAAATTTTACTATACTTATTTATTTATTAAGTAAGTAGGTTTGTTATAAAAATTATCCCATCCAGCAACTTTCTTCTCAAGGAGGTTGTCTGGAAGAGATCGCTCCGTAGTGATAAGGCCGCCTACTAAACTTATTTTATAAATTACTTGATGATAAGCTTAAATTAATCATTGCAAAGTTATAATGCAAATATGTAAATAAATACATAATAAAATTTAACTATGTATTATTTACGCTATTGACTGCTGTAAATTCATAATTCTTTAAAAAATATGTCGTACCTCTTTAGACATACTCTCTCATGTGTGATGTACCTATAATTACGTTTCGCTGCGCGGGATAATGAATAATAAAAGTAGAGATTATTAGCATAATCAATCTACTTTCATAATATTAAAAGTAAAACAATAGTCGAGGTGTGTATGTACTCATACAAATAGTCAGTGATTAGGTAAATAAATAAAAACCAAAAATTAAAAACATAATAAAGTTTATTGAATTTCGTTTAAGTAAGTACATAAATAGTATGAAGGTACCATCATCATGATACATAAATGATATACTGGACAATTGAACACAATTTACTTATACTCTAAATATTAATGTATTTTAGTTTTGTAACAACAATTAGGTATGTTATTCTAAATAATTACTTATGCTGCATCCTCCTCATTAATTTCCTCAACTTCAGCTTCTCTAAATGGGTCAAGCAAAGCCTCTTCTATCTTGCTGGGGTCAGGCTTCCTTATGACTCCCATCTCTTCAGCTGCATCAAGGCATTTCTGGGCATTTTCCTTAGTCTTGTCATACTCAGGGCCATCAAGTTTTGTCAATGCCATCAATATTTCCATAACATCAGTTTCAAATATCTTTGCTGAAATATCTTTGTCATCTTTGATAATATTATACAGCATGTATGTCCCCCTGAATTGTATTTCCTTGTCTGGGTTGGCTAACAAACATCTCAAAGTTTCCAACCAAGGCTGCACATCCAACAGCCTTCTACAGCACACTTTGCTGACAGATGTTAATATGCACAGGGCCCCTGCAGCAGCTTTTGCAGTGTCTACATCTTCTTCTTGACACAGAAGATACAGATACTTGGTCTTGTCATTGTTGCTTTCATAAGTTTTGATAACTTCCTCAGACTGGACCAAATTGCAAACACATTGTGTGGCTGCTCTCTGAAGCATCATGTGGTCTTCATAAAGGTAATGTTCAATCTTGGACAGTCCCCCTTCTTTGAGTATCCTATTTCTGGTGGTTTCATTCATTCCAGCTAGGTTACAGAGTGCCATCAGGGCTTCGAAATTTTCCAATGCTGTACATTCTGGATGTAGCAGAGCTATCAAAGGTCTGACTACTTCTAGGTTCCTCTGACCTGGGAAAGCTACTTCTGGATTGATTGTTATTCCTATTCTGGCTAAAGCTTGTGCTGCTTGTTTCTTGCCTTTATCAGTACCTTCTAAGGACATGGGTAAGAGAACTTTAGCACCTCCTTGCTGGACTACAATACCTCTCAGTTCAGGTAAAGCACAAATAGCATTAAAAACTCTTGCAATCAGTTCTCGTGAATTGTGACTCTCAGTTTTCGCCAATGCAACTAAACCAGATGTGACTCCAGCTTTGGCCAAGACAGTAATCCTTTTATTGATAAAATCAGGATCATCTAATTCATGTGTTTCAGGTACATGGTGTTTAGCAAACTTTGCAAGCTCCAGCATTTCGGGTAGCACTTCTTGCTTTTCATATGCATTGCATAAATTGACCAAAGTGGTTACAACACCATACAAACATGACTGATCTCCACTTTTTGCTAATTCAATGAGGGACTGAATGGCAGCTTTGTCCTCCACTAGCTTTTCTTTGACATCAGCATCCAATGTTAGGTAGGAGAGGCCCTCTGCAGCCCATTTCCTCACATCATTTTCTTTAGCAGGATTCACTAAGAATTTTCTGCATGCTTCAGCCAGCTTCTTTGTTGAGCCATCAGCAAAAGGTCTGATGGAAGCATCATCACCTCCAAAACTTCCAACTTTACAGAGACCTACTAAGGCTCTTACTCTCACAGCGTCATTTTTGCATGTATACAGCTTCTTCAGTATATCAACTCCCTTATTGACTATGGATCTTGCTTTGTCTTTCTTAGATGCTGCAGCCACTAGACACTCACAAGCAACTTTTTGTTGAAGAGAATCTTCAGTTTGAGCCATTACCAGGATCATTTCCAAAATACCTTCTTTTGAAATTACATAATTTCCAACATCAAGGGGACCTCTGAGCAGTGATGTGATTGCCACCGTCACCCTGACCTTTGACTCAAGATCAGGTGACATGAGTTTATCCTTTACATACTCATCAACTTGACTGTTGAAGCGTTCTCTAGCTTCATCATAGTACATATTTTCATAAATCCTTGCTAAACAAGCTGCAGCAATAGTTCTTGAGGATGGTGTTATGTTCATCGCTGATTCATATTTATATTCTTCTAGCTCACTGCACACAGCTAACAGTCGCTGCAGTCCCTTGATTTCAACAAACCGTGAAGCCCAGTTGAGAGTGTTGTAGTGACAGTTTCTCATAATTAATTCCATGATAGCATCCCTGGCCAGACCACTGATGACTGCATTTGTGATGGAGTATGTCAAGCAAGTCAAAAGTACATCAATTTCACTTTTATTTTCTTCACATAAGTTTGGGTCAGGCTTACTGTCTTTTTTGTTATCCATGCCTGAAAAGGTGTTGAGTATTACTTGCAAACAATACTGTGCTGCATTTACTGTCTCCTCATTAGTGCTGTCGATGACTTCCAGGAACCAAGGAATACCAACAATTTTGATGATACTTCTAGTTCTCTCAATGCTCCTCTTACACAATTGACTGATGGTGCGTACAGCATTGATGTATATCTCATTATTCTTCTCCACTTTGAGTAATTGTTGTATTTTATGAACAACTCCATTTTTCAGCATGATATCTGCACCTGCATTTTCCTTGGCAAGCACTAAGAGATTAGACATGGCTTTCTCTCGTTTTTCTGTGTTTTCACCAATGTTGAATGCCAATTTAAACATCTGCTCGACCTTATTACTGGTTTGAGCATTTTGCCGAGCTCGTTCCTGCACGACGGCGTGAAGTCGAGACAAAACTGGTTGCACTGCCTTGTTGGAGGGATCCACTGTGAATATGGTCTTAGCATCCCTGTAGGCTTCTTCAAACCTACCTAAGCTCTCCAAAGCTTGCGATCGACGGAACAGCGCTTTAGGGTCTTCAGCGACTATTTTTAGGGCTTCATCGCAATCTTTTATAACCTTTTCGTACTCATTCGTTTTTAGATATGCAGCAGCCCGATTCTTCAAGTAGGTAGATAAATCCCGGCTATCTTTCTCCGCAACATTGATGGCTTTGGTATACAGAGCTATCGCCTCATCGTATTTCTCCGACTTGAAAGCTTCGTTGCCTTTATTTTTGTAAGTTTCTCCTTCTTCGTTTTGAACTCCCATTTTTCTAACTTTTTAGAAATAAACTCGGGTAAAACTTGGCGGCTGCGCTTTTATAGTACACTCAAAGTTCTGGTAAGTTCCCGTGTGTTCTTGATGTGGCTACATCTCAAATTTACAGTCTAAAATAGAACTTTATTTTTGTTCACCATATGAGGATACGTACGTACAATAGTATAGGTATTGAGTGACAGTGACACTGGTGACAATGACATTTAGGTGAACAATCAGAAATCGTCAGAATTTTATTTTTTAGCCAACATTTTAGGGTTAAATTATATGTTTTTTTGTTTTATTTGTTATTTTATTGATAACATTTTTTTGTTCAAGTTTTCTGTACAAAATAATTCAATAAGTGGCATGTGGACAATCAAAAAGTGAGGACGTTTTTTTTAAATCCTACTAGGTTTTATGGGATTCGCTCTGTCTCGCTCCCCTGCCCACATGGGGCTTATCATAACCAACAAAACCCTACGGTGTTCACCGTAGCTTATGAATGACTACTCTCAATCAACTACCCGCTTCGAATCGGTAGCCCAACATCCTGGGATAGGCACCAGCCAGACCATTCTGAGGTGGGCACGGAACACCCGGCCACCCGTTATAAACGCGCGTGATCGTTAAGTTGTTTGATAACTTAAAATATTTGTCGCATTGCCTTTATTGTGGCCATGTTCCTTTCCCATATCAATCAATCGTGTCGTGTGTATGGTACGCACGTATATTTTATAAAATGCCCGGTCCATAGTTTATACGTCAATGGTAAATAAACAATGATGTTCCCTTTCAGAGAATTGATAAGTGTGCGTCGACCTTTATAGCTCAAATACAATCGAAAATCGAGACCACCGTCTGAAAAAAATAATGAAATGTCTATGGACTTAAACTTGTTTCTGTCAAACTAAAACTGTCAAAAAACTTCTGTCTGTCTTCTATATTGTCTATGCCTCCTACACCTCGTGCACTGGAGATTCATCTATTTCATTAGTATTATTTTGAAATAAATCAAAAAATGTCTGCTATAAGTTTGTTAAATCCTAAAGCTGAGTTTGCGCGGGCATCTCAAGCATTAGCAGTAAACATTTCTGCTGCAAAAGGTATTCAAGATGTGATGAGAACTAACCTCGGTCCTAAAGGCACAATGAAAATGTAAGTTTTTGTGTTATGCTTCATATTACTGAGAATAAACTTCAGAACGTTTATTTTCACCCGTTACATTCTGATTATACGAAAACTGTGTGTATACTCTTGATAATTTGTCTGAAAATTGAATGTGAAAAGTCATATGATCGTCGTTTCATTAGGTTGGTGTCGGGGGCGGGTGACATCAAGATCACGAAAGACGGCAATGTGTTGCTCCACGAGATGCAGATCCAACACCCGACGGCTTCGTTGATCGCGCGCGCGTCCACGGCGCAGGACGACGCCACCGGTGACGGCACCACGTCCACCGTATTACTCATCGGCGAACTCCTGAAGCAAGCTGACATTTACATCAGTGAAGGTATACAAATATAAAATTTATATGTTACTACAGTTTACAATAATATATAGTTAAGATAAAATTTCTGATGATTATGTTAAAAAAGGTTCTGCCATTATCATTCATTAGTCATAAATGAATGTAAGATATTTCACGATTTCCTGCATATTCTATCTTATAAATCAACTGTTCTTAATTGCTGGATGTTCATTTCAAAGATTTTACTGGTGTAGTAACAAAGAGTAGAAAGTTATTAAATTTTTAGCGTTTAGAGTCGCATCTTAAACTTATTATCTTAGGCAGTTCGATTTTTTCAAGTTATTTATAATTTTCAAAAGAGTAGAAAGGTTTTTATTATATTTTCATTTCTATTTATCTAGGTTTGCACCCAAGGATTGTCACTGAAGGATTTGACCTGGCTCGTACCAAGGCCCATGAAGTGCTGGAATCCATGAAGATCCCAATTGAAGTCACCAGGGAAAGCTTGCTTGATATTACAAGGACCTCTTTAAAGACAAAGGTGAATATATTTTATTTGACTTTTACTCAGGTACAAAAAGTGATTTAAATCAAATTCAAATTCAAATTCAAATTTTTTATTGCATATTAAGTGTTTACAATTGGGTCTTAATCTAAACAATCCTGACAAAGACTATCAAATCTTCAGCAAGGATGCTATTGGAGTGTATAATGTGTATGTACATGTGATAATTTTCCTTTCTAGATTCTGCTAATCAAACAAAACAACATTACATGGACTTTTTATACCTATTGAAAAAGTGATTGAAACTTTACTAGAATAGTTAAACATTCTTGTCACTAGCACAGATTACTAATGCAGTTTTGTATATTTAAGTGTTTTGTTGCCAATAAAAACTTTATTATTATTATTTTAGTTTTTTCACTTATGTGTCTCAGCTATAAGCCGGTATTTCAGGAATGCACGGGCCTAAGCCAAGTGCATTCAAAATACAACTAGTGGTTTAAGTCAGTTGGTGAGGATGATCATGGTTCTGAAGATTATTATTATTTGTCCTTAGGTCCACCCCAGCCTCGCAGACGTGCTGACCGACGCGTGCGTGGACGCGGTGCTGGCCATCCGCACGCCCGGCAAGCCCGTCGACCTCCACATGGTGGAGCTGATGGAGATGAAGCACAAGACTGCCACAGAGACTACACTCGTTAGAGGTATGATTGGTTGATAACTGTTTGATGATTTAAATCACTTTACAACGTCCCTGGATGCTTGTAATTTGCTAAAATATAATGCATTTTCAAAGGAGTCTTTCGTATTTTCTAACTCTTGGTTTCAAATTATTTTAGCAGAAAGCGTCTCAAGAATACTAGACAAGAGGCAATCTAACAATCGTTATTTTATATTATTGTAAGCCAAAGTGGGAAACAAACCATGAACCATATACCTGAGGTGGAATTGTGTAAAGCAATTATCATTTGACAGTTCATAACATACGATTATTCTGTCAAACGCTTTGTTTAAGGTAATAATCATAACTAGAGATGAAACGGATATCCGGTAACTATCCGGTTGGCCGGATATCCGGCCTAAATTTACTATTCGGCCGGATACCGGATAGTAACTCACTATCCGGCCGGATACCGGATATTAAAAATCTACGAGAATTTCCTATTAATAAAATGAAATACATTAATCTTTGAGGTAAACATCAATAAAATGGCTTATAATAATGACGGCTTTTATTTAAAGTCCAAAAAGTTACAAAAAGCCATATTAAGGCCTTTAAAAAACTATTTTCTTTTTCTGGGCTATTCACTCTAATGACGAATACATAAATAGTAAATATATGTTATAGCCCGACCAGGAACATAAAAACCCTCGACATGTTGCGGAAAACTAATGGTACTGATTTCTTTTAATGGCAACAGTAACTGAAAACTTCATTGACATGTCACCTTGCATGTCAATAATTTAACTGTCTATTGCTGTCAAAGTGTAAACATACTTTATTTTAAAGTGCAATTGATTTTGTGAGTTAAAAATGCTGAAAACTTTTTATAGTCGTGAAAGAAAAGTGGTTCACTATGTGTTAAAGTATTTGTCGAAGAGAAATACTAAGGGTTCGGACAATATTTTCATTGAATAATGTTTCCAACAAAGTTGTCAAATTGACTGACATGTTTATCGTATAGTACAGTCCACTATGAAAATTAGTTGTGGTTTGTTTCAACTACCTATTTTAAAGTTTTTTGTCACTTTGTAAGTGTTGAATTTTATGTGTTTGACGTTCATAAGTGCCACTTGTGGTCTAAACTGAATAAATACTTTTGATTTTGATTTTTTATGGAATTGGGAAAGAAGTACCGAGTTTGAAGCGTTGATTAGCAGACATTGTAGTTGAATATTCAAGTTCTGAATTTGATTATTGATGAATAATAAAATAAACCCTACTAGCTCGATTGATGGTTTCATTTAATTTATTTAAACCAGGTTACCTATTATACATATAATATTGTTTCGTTAATTTATGAAAATATCAAATTAGCCCGTAATCCTGAATCTTGGTACATAAAGTTAGCCTATTAATTTAACACAGGTACGACTGTACTCAGTGTTGCACTATCAAATGCAAATGACGCGCCTCTATGCCAGGGTTTTTATGTTCCTGGTCGGGCTATAAGTCGAAATATTGACAAATAAAATAGGTGATCTTTTTTTACTGATGGTCTGATGTCATGATGCAGTTCAGTCAGATTACGCAGCAAGTAAACTAATTTAATTTTCGCTATTCAATCACACACTCACGATGGCAACCGAAATCGCCCGAATTGATCTGCCCCCTAGACAAGTGGCAAAATCTGACATTCTATTCGGACTGATTCGATTTTCGAAAAGTGTGACGCGTTTCGCGTTCAAAGCACCTGTGCGGCGCTAAACTCATCACGACATGCAACGAGACAATGGGCCAACTATCCGGCCGCCGGATATCCGGCTATCCGGCCTAGCAGCTGGCCGGATATCCGGTATCCGGTATCCGGCCAAACAACTATCCGTTTCATCTCTAATCATAACTGACTTTATCGTACGTTATGAACTGTCAAATGATTAAAATTGCTTTACACAATTCCACCTAAGATTTACCTACATGTAACTGTATAGTCTGAAAATAATTGTGTGAGAATGTAATCATGTCATTATTTAATTTTTATTTTTTTATTTTAGGTCTAGTATTGGACCACGGCGCGCGTCACCCAGACATGCCCAAACGCGTCGAGAATGCATACATTCTCACTTGCAATGTATCACTGGAATATGAGAAAACTGAAGTCAATTCAGGTTTCTTCTACAAATCAGCTGAGGACAGGGAGAAACTGGTTGCTGCTGAAAGGGACTTCATTGACCAGAGAGTCAAGAAGGTACGAAAAATTACTAATGAACTTAGAATGATTATTTGTACCAGTTCTCTTATTGATATCTCTGAATTCCAGGAAAAAATCTCATAGTTATTGTACTATTATTTTCAGATTATCGCTCTAAAGAAGAAAATCTGTGATGGCACTGACAAGAGCTTTGTAGTTATCAACCAGAAGGGTGTTGATCCTCTATCTTTGGACGCTTTGGCGAAGGAAGGCATTGTGGCTCTCCGCCGCGCCAAGAGGCGCAACATGGAGCGCTTGGCTCTGGCTTGCGGCGGCACCGCCATGAACTCCGTCGACGACCTCACCGAAGAGTGTCTGGGTTACGCGGGACTGGTCTATGAACACGTTCTTGGAGAGGACAAATTTACGTTCGTTGAACAATGCAAGAACCCCATGTCCGTCACGATCCTCATCAAGGGCCCCAACAAGCACACTCTGACGCAAATCAAGGACGCCGTCCGTGACGGTCTGAGAGCCATCAACAACGCTATCGACGACAAATGCGTCATCGCGGGCGCAGGCGCCTTTGAAATTAAGGCTAATATGGAGTTGCAGAAGTATAAGGATACCGTGAAGGGCAAGTCCCGTCTTGGCATCCAAGCTTATGCTGAAGCCTTGCTGATCATCCCCAAGACTCTAGCTATCAACTCCGGTTACGACGCGCAAGACACGATTGTCAAGCTCCAGGAGGAATCGCGCCTCAGCCCCGACCCGATCGGCTTGGACTTGAGTTCCGGGGAAGCTGTGAAGCCCGCAGACATGGGTGTTTACGACAACTACATTGTCAAAAAACAAATACTCAACTCCTGCTCGGTCATCGCGAGCAACCTCCTCCTCGTGGATGAGATCATGAGAGCGGGAATGAGCAGCCTAAAAGGATAATACAATGAGAACTTTATTTTAACACTTCGACTAAATTTCGCTCACAAAATGTGCTTTATGTTTAGTATTACTACCACAGCATTTTATGTTTGCATTACATACATTTTCTTCATTTATTATAAATGCTAAAAATGTGCTATGAGTATAGCATGCACTAATATTAACTATTTTACTAAATACATGCCTTAATTTAGTAATGTCTTCTTTATTTACTTAAATAATTTATGTATGTTGGAAATTAAAGAAAAACTGACTTTAAAAGTAATTTATTACCATTAAACACAATCACATAGATCAACATAATTATAATATTTATTTGTAGGTATTTTAAAATAGAGGCCATGACACTTCACAAGATGTTAGTTACTTATCCTTATTGTATTTGATTGTTCCTTCAAATTCTTTGGAAATACTTAAACACTAACAACAGAGTAATCCCCAACTATTATTCCAACACAACATACAATAATTGAACAGTTCCAAGTCTAGTTGGTCACCTACCAAGTCCTATGTAAACACATCTTACTATGAGGAAGCTAAGATTTTTTTTTAGTTAATTTATTCGAGTATTACATTCCTTTACCCATACCTCGTATTTCGTGTAGAAAGTGTCTCAGAAAGTAGACTATTGCTGAGATATAGTCACTATAATGACCGATATATTTTATGACTTCTAGTTTTCTTAAAATACTATTGTTCTTTGATTCAAAACTTCTGAATGTTATGTTTTCTGAGTCACCCTATATTATAAAATTTCAATCCCTCTTCAATATAAACTATAATTTTCTTATTATTGCATTAATTAAGTTTAAAATAACAATAACAACACCAATCACTAAACACAGACTACGTAATATCTTAGATATAGTATAAATAAATACATACATAAAATATACAACAAATAATAAGCGACTGGGTAACAAATCACATACAACAGTGGTAAAAAAATTAAAAAATCAATGATTTTTTAAAACACAATGGTTAACTTAAATGCAAGTAGATTTATATCTTGGAATAATGCTGTAATACTTTATGCTTTAGCACAATTTGTACAAAAATAATAATATTTGGCCACTATAAAAATGGTAGATCTTGATAATCTTCAGTTCAACAACCGCATGCTCGGTAAAATAAAGGCGCATCATTTTGTAATGTTACCTACTACCTACTGCCTTTGTTGTACTAAACATGTCTGATTATTTAGATATCCCCAGTCCTTGTCAAATCTTAATGTGATGTAATATCAGCTATAACTTCAAAACAATGCATTGGCTTTAATATCAATCTTTCTTAAGCTTAGCGTCCACATGTCGGTATCGTACGCATCGGACGTATCGCACGCAACGGATCGTAGTATTATTTATATGGAAACTCATATAAGTGCTATCTTATGTCATTATTACACACTGTAAAATCCTGGTTTTCCTAAATAAATAAGTGCGTCCACCTGTCCGCATCGTCCGTTGCGTACGATACCGACAAGTGGACGCTTAGCTTTATTCAGAGCCAAATATAACGAAATAATTTGTGGAATAAGATCACTGGGGTAAATTGGAAGTCTGGGTAATATCTGCAGCAGAGACATCATCGAGGTTTGTTAAATCCCTTAATTGGTTTGTTTGGCAGCGATTTCAGCTCGCTCATTGACGTCGATTGTGGCCAGGTTCAGGGAAGCGACGCCCATGTGCAGTATCGTGATGCCAGTCTTGACGACGGCGACAGGCATGCTCACGAGCGCAATCAGCTTGAACAGCCCCATGCCCAACACTGAAATAGAAAGAAACGTAAATATTATACCATGTGTAATAAACATATTATAAAGCTTATGTTTATAAAAATACTGATTAATATCGCTAGTGCGGCATAAGTAACACATCACGTCTATACATTGATGGTGAAGGCAGCCGAAAAATGTGTCAAATATCTGCAGTTTTTATGGACAAGTGCTGCGGCAGCGGCGGCACTTAAGTGATAAGACAGATTACTGAATACTGCTTTAAGCAGTAGCATCATCATAACACCAGGACCTAGGACTCAACAATAATTTTTACTTGATTAATATTGTTTAATTACCTGTAGGTCCGGTATAGAAGTACATCACATACAGAGCCGCATAAAATGCTTCATTTCCGGCGCACATGCAGAACAGAACGGTTTTGTTCATGTAGTAGAGGCGCATGATAGGGTTTCCCGACATGTCTATGAATTTGTGGGACGTCTTCCCCTGCAGAGTTGTGGTGTGGAGATACAGCCAGTGGCCGGTGATGTCTATGGCCATGGACAGTTGGAACCAGAAGGTGTACTGCGGGTAGAAGGTCGCGAGGGTCATCATGAGGCAGCTAGTGCCGGCGCGGTCCGTAAGCTGGTCCAACATAGCGCCGAATTTTGTACCTGAAATCACAGAGTAAATTGTATTGAATAACAGGTATGTTTAATTGAAATGCGTAGCATATTTTGTGTGGTGGGTATGGAGACTTGGGCATTCTGTAAGGCAGGAATCACATTGACCGGCGCGAGTCGGCGCGCAGTGCAGCGTCCGTTCGGCCAAAATGCGCGCGTCTGCGCGCGTATCCGCTGGAATACGCTCGGAGCCGACCGGCTTTCGACGCATGCTCGCGCATCCGTCCGGATTGAAATGTCATTTAATCAGTTATGAACTGTTAATAAAATACTATTTTCTTTACGGCCGTGTAATGTGCGCTCCGACGCGCGCCGGTAAATGGGTATTGTCCCTAAGTTTTTAACAGATTGACACTCTTTTATTTCAGTGATTCAATGCATGTCTACATGTTTGTTTATCTTAATCCATAACTACTGAAGACATAAAAAATGGATGTGATTAGTAGTTTGTTTTTTATTTTCAAAAGATAGTGCTGCAACTTTTGTTCTGCAGGGAATCTTATTTATAGGAACAATTTTTCTATTATTGAAAGAAAGAAAGAAAAATGTAATGTTAAAATTTATATCTATCTGTGTTACATCCTAATATTTTTATGGTATACAAAAAGTTAGGCTTAAGATAAGTATTTTATAGATAACTTCTTCAGACGGGTAAAATATCAGAATGTAAACAGGACCAATATTTTTTATCTGATTAGACATGCTAGTTTACGTTGGTAACAAAAGTAACATGATCATAAACTTAAGTATCTATTCAGTAGGGCTTTGATAACCCTCATGCCCAAGTTTTATATACCCTGTAACACTATTTATGTCTAACAAATTCCTATGTGATATTTTGATGTATGAGATACAACTAAGTTCCAGCCAATAACAAAATATAGGAATAAAGTTGTAGGCAAAAGTTTGAATAAATAAGTTTTAGCACAGTGCTTCATTTCTTATAGATAAAGCAATGCCCTTACTTTTAATTATATGCACATAATTTTGGCAATGTCAATTAGTCGTGAGTACAATAGGTCATCTTCAAAACTCATTTACATATTTTGTAAAGATAATTGAATTTTAAGTCATGTATAGCTGAACTTATATCTTTTAAATAATTCAAAACAAAATAAACTGAATCATGTTTAAATTTAACATTACAACCATGCATGTACTATACATTTCTAATTCAATTAAAAGATACCTTACAACCAAGGGCAACAAACACAATACTTACTTTGATTGAAGAGTCTGGCTGCATGACCATCAAAGGCATCAAGTAATGCAGAAGTAACGTAGCAAGTACAAGCTACAATGCAGTGTGTCGGCATATAATACAGCGATATAATAAGAAGAATAACCCTGGCGAACCCTGAAACAATAAATTTGGACCAATAAAGTAAACAATGAGCTGAAACTATGATACAGTCTTATTTGAGTAATAATATCTTACCAATAATGTTGGGAACAAATAAGAAAATGTTTTCCTTTGTTTCAGTCATTTTCGTAGATAGTTTTTAGTCCGTAAATTATTATTTTCGCAAAACAAGAATCTGCGCTGCGGTTCTTCTTTCGGAAAATCAATAAATGTTTATTTTTTTAATTTCGCTTCGATGACATTTCACTAGGTAGGGCTTGACGATATGTCTTAATCGAATTATGAAAAGAATGAGCTACCAAAAATTACGGAAAAGCATTTTCAACCCTACGCATAGCTCAGCTCCCATTCAGTGTTGCCATGTTCATGACTAATTATCTACAAACGTAATTATGAATGTGGTGAAAATTGGAACCTTCAAAAACTACATGTATTTGACAGATTTACTTGCAAGTAGCGCCATCATTCGTGTAAACAAGATATCTGTTCATTGTTTTATCCTTGCTTTGCCAGAGGGCGTTTGTGTAGTCGTTAAAAATGTTAGTCGAAAGCTGTCGAAAATGATGAATTCGGTTTTGCAAATTTTAAGAACTTTAGATATGTTGTAGAAAAATACTAAATCATGATGATTTAATAGCTAGGTTGTGTAAAATTATATTAAAAACGGGGTAGAGAGTGATTTGGTGTGTAAAAGTCATAAGACTTGTGTCATCTGACTGCTCTTCCTTCAAGATGGCTCCTCCGCCGGAATATGATAAGGAACCGAAAGCCCCGGATAAAAGTGCCGTAACAATAGCTAATGATGACTCCAAACTTCTTCACAACATCGTGAATGACCAGCAAACCAATTCGGATCACAAACCTTCAAATACGGCTGCCAACACTGAAGTTGAGGTGAGCGGGTTTAATGTCTTTTTTAATTTGAGATTTTATTTGTTTGTTCTATCTAAATCCTGTCCATCATTTTACTGTAGCGTTAAAATGCTATTATTCGTGTATTTTGCATGATTATAAACTTGCGGAAACCGCAATTATGCAGGTAAAAATGGCGAAAGACGTCAAAAATAATGCATTTGTGTGTACCAATTACCAAATGGTAACACGGGCATGCGATTTAGACGTACACAGTGAAGAAACTACGATGATGATTGTTATTAAAAATTGTTACACAGCGACACATTTTCACTCAAAATAATATTGTAGAATGGCCAAAAACTCAGAAGTTGTTCATTGTATCCAAAATGTAGTGTAAAAAAGTGGAGAAAAATAGATAGTGACTATTTGTAACTCATGTCCATGAACTTTTTTAATTCCTATTATATTTTACTGTAGATTACTGCCCAATTATGATTTTTAGTTACTCTATTTACCATAATCAGTCAAACTTGCTAAATAGAAATCAATAAACTTTATTGTGATCACTACACACAAACAAGTTTTTACTGTGGACTTCATGAACATAAGTACCGTAGGTAGGTAATATTTAAGTACATGAACGTAAATATTGTTCCTATCACGGACAGGGAGCTTTAGAAATTATATTGTACGCATAAAAAAAAATTAAATATTTTTACTTTCTGGTTTTTGTTTGTATAATTTGACTGTATTAAGACATGTTCCATAGAAAATTCCTACTGAATTACTCCTAATTTTATTACTATTTACCCTACTTTATTGATTTCATTGTATTGTACTGAATCTTATTGCCAACAAATAGTTTAAACTTACAACAATACGGTCTTAAAATTTTAATTATGTAGATATCACATTTTTGTCATACAATTTAATTAAGTTTTTTATACATTCAATATTGTATGGAATACTTCTTCTATTGACCATTTACAATCAATTTTTCAATCAAGGCTATTATCTGTAGAACAAGTTTGAAATATTGCCAGTTTTTTTATGGAAAATATAAATGGTTGTTGTATTTAATTAAAAAAAAAAAGCTATCAATAAAAGTATGAAATTAATTAAATATAATAATTGATTACATTTATCATCATGACGTAATAAACTAAAATTGTGTGATACTATCACACAGTTTCCAACCAGGTATTATTAGCAATAACAATTTAAAGTAACTAAAATCTACCCATTTATTTAAATAAAAGAGCATTGAGTTTAACTGATGCTGTGTAGGTTTTTTATGTCGGCCCTTTGGTGTAGTTGTTCTAAAACAGTCTACTATGCCGATAGGTCCCGGGTACGATTCCCGGCCAGGCAGAAATTGAAATGATGAATTTTAATTTCTATGGCGGGTCTGGGAGTTACTATAATATGTATTTAAAAAGTATATTTATGTAGTATTATCCGTTAAGCTAGCACCCATAACACAAGCATATTAATTGCTTACTTTGGGGCTAGATAGCGCTGTGTGAAATTGTCCAAAGATATTTATTTATTTACCATAGAAATCATATTCTTGCTTCGACTTATTTGTCATAAATTATTTACTGATTTATAATGCAGTTTCCTCAAGGATCAGCTGAATATTAATTATAATCAGTAATGAATAAACCTGAATATTGTGTCCTTGATTCCTTTGACAAGTATGCTTAATGTTGTTTATTAGGTATCAACTTTATCAAGTGATGCAATCCTGAAAAACCTGAATAAATAATATAATTATAATTCCATATTAAGTTTTTACAGCTCATCTGGCCAGTATGCGGAGTGTAGGCTAATTCCTCTATTCGCCTCTGTCTAAGGGAGGTCCATGCTTCGTGCAGTGTAAACTAGATAAATTATTAGTATGATGATAGTTTTAAGAAATTATTAGATAAAATCTTTTTTTTTTAATTTTTTTTTTATTAAGGAAACAAACAGCATGAATTGATACATGATTTAGTTAGACATCCTTTTATACATGAAAGTAGACGAGTTCTACTATATTTTTAGCATATTATTGATTGCCTGCTGATGAAATGCTTTTTCTCATAAAGCAACTGACGGTAATTTAAAAGCAATTAGTCAGGTACATATGAAATCTTTGGACATTCCATTGTACATTTATTTGTAAACAAACAAAAGCTAGCCAGTTAGATTGACACAAGTAGGTTTTTGGACACATGTCCAGATCCAGAAGCCTCTAATTTCACATTATTAATATGTTATTTTAAATTATATCTCTGGTGCATTAGCCAACGGATCTTAGATCCATTAGAATAAAATAATAAAAATCCATCTTCAGCCTCCATTGCTTCTATTGGAAATAGGAATACCTGTTGGTTTATCCCACCCATGTTATTCTTACAAGCTTAAGACTAGTAATAAGACAGCAAAAGGGTTGAAAACAATATTTATAACTGGTATACATACACATAGCATCCACAGAGATGCAGCTTCTACAAAATTGAATTTTCAGTACTTTGTGGAATACTCATACACTAGTATCCAGTGAAGAGAGGCTATGAGGGGTTATGTAGTGTGATTTCCCCGATTTTGTAACTGGTGTGGTCAGTGGTCAACTCAATATACAATGTCTTCAGGTGATTGGTGCAACGATGTTTCGCTTTAGATCTCGATTCCCATTGTCTTTAGCTTTTAAACTTGAAAAGCGTTTAAAATGTAAATGGTACGAGTTACGAAGGAGTCACTCCTTCCCCCACTAGCCACGTACTTTTTATAAGTCAACCTCAGAGGACAAAAAGAACCCGCTTCTCCTGTCCCTCTTATCTTGAGCTTCCTTTCGTCTACGAGAAGTCTTACGAGACCCACGACGCCTATACAGTGGAGTAGAAAGAAATCACCCACCCACCCCCCTTCCTAAGTCAGAGATCTCCTTTTTTACGTCGGGAAATGCTTTGCGAATATCCGACTGGGCTCACTGGCCGATACGGGCGGATAAGTGGATTATCAGTGGAACTCCCCGTCAGAAGGGCCTCCTAAGGTGACCTGATCGGACCACAGGCTCACTTTGTCTTGCCATTTTGAGCTGACCTTAATCTGTACTAAAATTCCGTAGCACTTACATTTACGCATTTTGATACAAAGCTTGTTTATAGCGTCCAACAATTGCGGTTATAACATTAAGTTTCCTCAGTGAACGTTGGTAATTAAAACAATGCAATTCACTCGAAATGTACCGTTGTGTAAAANGTAAATGGTTATAATGAGAACAGAGACGTGTGTGTTTCTTACTTTGAGTTAGTAAGTATCATTGTAGCATATAAATTTAGCGGCGATACAATTGAAACGGTTTACTTGTTTTGTTAGCACCAGATCAATTGGTTCTACGAAAGAGATGAGCATTTATTTTTCCATTGCGCTAAATTTCTTGTCTGAAAAATGACGTAATATCCTTAGTTTTTGCTGCCCACTGTTGGAACTGCATTGCAGACAGTATGCAGTCGAAAATTTTATTAGAAAATCGGAAAAGTAGCGGTGTTGAGTTGATGGTAAATTTTTATTGTCTTAGATTGCGCTCTATTGAATTCTATTATCCTTTGACCTTTATACATATTTCATTTATTATAAAAGCTGTGAGCTTACATACTTGAAGTCTTTTATTCATCCATTAACCTCACGAGAAAAAGTTGGTACTTAATGACATTAAAAAAGTTTTAGATATTATGTTGTATTGAAGTACCTAATTACGTACATAACTATTTATTCTGTGATAATACCTAAAAAAAGTCACATAACTTTAATATAAATGAACAAACACAAATTCCTGTTAACTGGGCAGGAAGATATTCCCTGGATAATAAGGTTTGGTTGGTAATGTCGACGTAGATCGAATAATATTTACATTTATTCGATTACTATTAAATTCGTATCCTTCACAAACATTTACAAATAATCTAACCTTGTTATAATATTTATTGTCATAGTATTAATAACAGATAGGGAAAAACAACATTACAATATTATTATATCAATTTTTACTAGGTTTGTCGTGTAGAACGGAACAGATGGCTCGCTGAAAATAGCAAGGCATCCATACAACAGCCTCATCAATTTTTTGTCGCAGATTGACGAGCTCGAAACTAGTAGGTAACTTCTCATTTCGGGATTACAATACAATAGTGGCGTCAACAAAAAATATAAAACCGCGACTCGCGATTGAAATTAGAAAAATAATCCAAGTTTAAAATACACTCAATGGTAAAACATGCAAGTTTATTGCGTTTTAATGATTTATTATGTACCTTCAAGGCTGTAGGAGTTTGTGTTTTTATAATTCGCATCAATCTCCATTTATTATTGAAAACCTGCGGATACTTTTTTTAAAAGAACCTTTTGTAAAATTAAACGGCACGCGGCGGGTAGCAATAAAATAACACTTCTTACATAGCCCGGGATGGTTACTAAATCTACCGCATGAAATGCAGTCTCAAATAAATTTATACCGCAAGCGAAAAATGTTCTACGATCACGCTAAAGTTCATTATTATTCTGGTTTAATTGGACATTCCGGTAGTTATTTTTCCGTGAAAGCGGTAATACAACTAATGTCGTTAATGGTGTACGTACCTACAATTTGTTTTGCAATAATTTAATATCCTAGTAAGTAGGCGGTCGCAGACAGTTATTGTGCTAGTTAGGCAGACAATGTCATATAGTAAAGTGTATTAGTTGCTAAGGTTACGAATTATTTTCACGTAAGTTACTATTTTTTAATATTCCGTAATGGATTGTACGCTTTAGTGCTCATATTCATTTTAATCACATATTAATATAGAGTTATAATAAACTTATTACAGTAATTGATTTGTGTCTTACATTTTGGCTGTATGCATCTGATACAGTTAGCGTTAAGCGGTCATCTTGACCTGGTTTTATATTTCGTTGGGTTTAGAATGGCCGCGCGGNGATCCACCGTGCGCGGGCCTAGATGGTTAACAATGGACGTGTCCTGTTTTCGTCATTATAGATTTTACCTGTTTATC